ACTTGGCACGTCTATGTAACACTTATAGCATAACTTAAAGTGATGTGTCTTATTTACAGTGACCGATCCCAAGGGCATGTGTGCCCATGCGGGAAGTGACTGTAAAGCAGACAAGAAAGTAAAAAAATTTCTATTAAATAAGAAAAAATAGGGTTGTTAAATTATAAAAGAAACAAGGGGGTTGAGTTTAACCAAAATAATAATAGTTCAAATAATAAAGATAAATTTTAAATATAAAATAATAATTATTCATTAAAGAATAAGAAACCCTACTTTGCAGAAAATAATAGGCAGGCTACAAATAAATAGAATTTTAATAATAATTATGCCTTTGTACCTATTGATTTTTCTACGACATTAATAGTATGATGTAAATTAATTATTGTGATAAATATGAATTAGAATTTTCAGCCAGTAGTAATTGAATATTACTGTCATGACAATTAAAACATCTAAATAATTGCATTGTTCAATGTTTGTGATTCAGTACAATGTCTAAGAATAAAAAATATATTAATTTATATACTTATTAAGAATTGTCATTGGACTTGCCACGCTTGCGTCGACTGGAACTAAGCTGATTGGTTTTTATTCATTAATACTTGTCATGTTACGGGAAACAACACTCCTTCATAAAACTCTACAAAGTGGAGTTTGAAATCTTTGTATTCTTTTTATGAATTATTATTTTTTATTAAATCAAGTTTATTATTATTAAAGTACATTTGGCTGAAATGAAAAACTTTTTCTTAACGCCATTTTATAGGATCTAAAAAGTTGTATACCTTGTGCTATTTTCAAATTTTTACTACGCACAGTTTAGATGTTTTAGATCACTGAACTTTAAATATTTTTTTAAAAATTTATGAATAACTTTTCATAGTTAATGAACTTGTTGCAATAACTATGCAAATTTATGTCCTTCGTTTCTTGTTAGATTTAGTTGCAATTGAAGCTAATATGTGACGTAATATGAGAAAACAAGGCTATCTGTGGGAATTATCTATTAAAGATAATTATGGCTTCCGAAAGGTATGACATTGGCACCTTATCAAAACTAAGATTATATCAAAAATGAACTATTTCCTTTTAATTTGATACCAAGTTTGCTAATAAATAAGTAAAGACAGATAATTTATATACCTTTCTTTTTGTTGTTTACCATGTAAATAATGCAAGATATATTGATAAGACTGGCTTTAACTTAATTGCATCTTCTTTTTCATGTATAATTATAACTCAGCACTACATTGCCAAATTAAATGGAACAAAAACCAAAAGCAAGATAAAAATGTGCTTAATTCAGAAAAGCATTAATCTCAATTTTCAATTTTGGAGCATATAGCCTGGTTTTCTCATATTGGGTCACATATTCTCATTTGCCTTGTGTACAGTTGCATTTGTTGGATTAAAATATAAACAGCCAACAAATTTAGCATTTATTGACCGCAAGATATAACAATGTTATTCTATTATCTAAAGGACTTTTGTTGTGATAGATGATTGTTTTCATTTTCCATTAGTTTAATAAATACCATTTTTAAGAAAGTCAAACTATTAATGTTCTGCAATGAATACAGTTATTATGCTAATGAGTATACTTAAAATATCTATGAATATCATTAATCGTCTTATGAATATAGTTCATTTTGATGTCATTGCAAATAGGATGAGGAAGTCACATGACTTCTGTGCGTATAGTCATGGCTTTTGGCAGCGAAAAGATAGGTGTATCATATCACTAAAATAAAAATGGCCACCATCCCATTATATTCATTGTAAGCTCCTCTTTCAGCTGTTCACGTAAGCCTCTATCTCGGCCTCTGGTCCTTCATGAAAAGTCCGAGCTAATGCAACAATTTGACAAGCAGTATTTTACACTGACATAGTAGCCATTTCATTGACTTTGATAATAAATGCAAAAGCAGCAAGAGAGAGATTACTTCTTTCCTCAGCAAAAGAAGTTTCCAGAACCATAAGTTTTTTGATCAAATACACTTTTTATTTTTTTCATAAAAGGAATAAATGTACAAGTTAAGCAACAAACCTTTCAAATAAGGGAGGTCATTGTGGAGAGGTCTGAGTTTTGAAGTTAGTGATTCACTATTTCCTAATAACACTTTCTAGTGTCAATTATTTTTTACTTTTCCAATTTGCAACAATATATTCTTGCATTGAATTCATTACTATCACCCTCAGATTAATTATTAAAAATCGTAACATTAATATTGTTTTATCTGTACAATTATAACTATTAATAATACGAATCATAATATTTGATCATTACAAACAAAATAATGAAATAACCAGTAAGTTTAAAAACGAAACATTGTATAGCATCTCAACTTTGTAGTTGTAGTAGTACTCTCAACCAAGCTTTAATGGACCAATGGAGGTACACGTATGTAACATTAAGACTGAAAAAGGTAGAACAATGCTTATAAGATAAAAATGCTCACTAGGCAAAACTCAACATTTGCTTTGGTGCATGGCACATTATATTAATAAATAAACATCAATGAATAAGAACAAAGAGGTAAATGTGCTATTTGATACTCATAAGATCACCAGCACAACAAAATAATCATTAAGAAACATTTATCATAATAAATATAGAATTAAAAAGACGTTGAATAATTTATTCAAAAAGCAGTCCTGACACTGTATTTAAGTTTTGTGCAAAATTTTTATGACTACATTATATTGTTATTATATGCCTCGGCCTACTTCAGAATTATTACCATTCTGAATTTACTACAAATTGAGAGAAAAACACGGCTTATTTAAAGCAGTATATTGTAACATTCAAGTACAATAATGAATAAACACGAAGCGTAGACATTACAACTAAAACCTTATCAATGCAGCAAGTACTATAAAGAATTAGGACTTGTGACTAATGAAACCGATTTCATACAATCATATCAAACACTAGGGATGATGCTCTTGCAGGTGAGTTTAAAAAGTATTTTACATGTTGTATTGTCCTGATTTCATCAATGCTCTATTTAAGGTAAATTTATTGCCATTAAATGGATACATGTATGTTTCCTATAATAGCTTGTTAAGTACTCCTCCCGTAAAAATTGTTCTTGTACATACACTAATGCACCATTTAAGTTCAGTTGCTCATTTTAGGATAGTTGGTGGTTAAATAGAAAAAATTAATAAACAACTATTTCAGGTTTTTAATTGTAGTTTTATTATTTACTGAATATGTACACAAATTTGCCTACAAAAAAATAGTTGAATCGGTTTCAAAATGAAATATAATACAATGTACTTCTATATTATTGGTCCATACTGTCTATCTTGTATAACTGCTCCGCTCTTCTTTTTTGTTCCTTTATCAGAA